AGTATTATTTATAATCAATATTGAATATATATATTCGACCAATATACCATTAGGGTATTGTCACACTCACATCTACACTGAATATTTAATCGAGGAAACATGTGGGTGTTCCACTAGCAACTCTCTCGTTTTCACACTTACTTTTAGATTTTTTTGATTTACCTCCACACTAAGATTTTATCCTGTATCGTGGTTGCAGTTTACAAATATATATTTTATAAGAACAAACATTCAGAACCCGGAACAGTTATTTGTAGGTTATAAGTACTCGTTCCGTGAGGGATTCTAGCCTGTGGCCCTTAGCGATGCAACTCATTGATAAACCACTGCGCCATATAGCAGTCAAAAGTCTTTTAATGAAATAGCGTGTGAGATTAGCACAATTGAGTTTAGCACAGTTGAGTATATTATATAACCTGTGCGATGAGTAAGCGACCAAAAAGACGTCATTATGTAACTACTAAGTTCACTGAGGAAACTGTGGAAACTGAAAATTTTTCTTCATCAGAATCATTTAAAAGTATCTAAACAAATTTTTTTTCTTACTGGTCGTGGGAAACAACGTTTAAGAAAATTGGTCTGGTTTGATCAAGAAAAATCCTTCTTCAGCCCATGCCTATGGTGCTCACAACTGTATACCCTTGTCTTCACTTACCCAAGTTTGGCCCCAAGTAGAAAGTTACAACCTCTATACGTAACACTGCTTGGTGCTGGCCTACGTTCATTTTTGAGAGGGTTTTAGGATAAGGAAGTGTCGGTAGCCGCCGCGCTGCCCCAATGGGGTCTTAGTTTTTTTAGTTTTTCTGATATGTAGGTTTTCTCACGATGTTTGTCTTCACCGCCGAGCACATCTGCTCTTAAAATTGCAATTTGCAATTTCATTGGTGCCGGCGGAAATTGAACCGGGATTGTTCGCATTATGTGATGTTTACGGCGAGCGTAAGATACCAAGGCTTAACTTACTTGTTTTCACATAAATAGGCCTCCCGGAACTCGTTTTGCTAAACAAAACAGGAATGAAAGTATCCAGCTATGGATAGATTGTATATTAAAAACTAGAACAGAGACCAAATGGAATTCTTGATCAAAGATTAATGCGAGAGAGAAGTTTGCCAAAAGTGTCAATGGGTTCGCTATACTACCTTTTTTCATAGATCTCTTTGACTTTTTCCAGTTATTTTTTATAACTTTTATGGGAAATTAAAATTATAAAATATAAAAAAATATTAATAATAATAAATTAATTTTCACATTATTAAATAGCGTATGTAATATACTGGATGACCTCTTTTACTGTCCGGAAAAAAATAATATGTAGCACGTGAACGGAGTAGAAGCCTATGGTACCGATGTTTTACAAAAAATAAAAACAAAAATGTTGAATTAAACGTTTGAATATTTTTTTGAACAATTACTTTTCCCTTTGCACTTGCGCCTGTGACCCTGCGAAGTGACAAGGTCAAAGATGCCTACTAAATGTATTGTTTTATTGCCGTTCGGTAGGGTGAATTTAAAATTTTTGTTTTTATTTTTCGTAAAATATCAGTGCCATAGGCTTTTACTCCATTCACATGTTAAACCCTATTTTTTTTTACAGACGGTAAAAAAGATCACCAGTATATACGTACTCTGTAGAACCATAATGTAACATATTACGGTTGTAGCCTGAATGTGTTGGCTAAATCGGGGAAGGACCCCGCTCTCACAGAATACCATTGAAAATACTGTTGCGTTTCGTATGGTGAGTGTAGAGAACCATAGACCCCTTTTTATTGGAAACGAGGCATTTTATTTTATTCCTTAGGGGTGGCAAACGCTTCTGCATTTTGATTCTTGATCGAGGATAGATGTACCTAGATGTCTATGCGCTTCGGTATCGACTTACAATCAGATGGACTGTGTGCTCGTTTTGTTCGGCAAGGTGAATCTAACAATTATGTCCCCAACTTCATAAATTATTTTATTCTTCAAAGATTTTTCAATTCGATATTCACTTTTTAAAAAGTTAATTATTTAATCATTTTGAGAAGACTAAATAATAATATAAGCTTATAATTACATTTAAAATTTCATCTCCTATTTTCTTTGAGGGTGGAATTTGTTAATTTTTTTTTACATCGGGGTATATTCAATTTAAAAGAATAAGTAAAACGAAAATAAGTAGCACGTACGAAAAATTTTGTATTAAGGACTCTCCTTTTTGATAACGGACTTACTTAAAGGTAGAAGGTAAAAACTGAAAATGCAAATAAATGTATTTTTTATAGAATAAGTATAACAAACGAGCACACAGTCCACCTGATGATTAGTGAATGCTGTGGCCCGTAGATATATACATTTATCCTCGATTAAGAATCAAAACGCAGATGCGTTGTTACCCCTAAAGTCTAAGATGGAATGCCTCGTTTCAAGTAAAAATAGCTCTCCGGATCTCTACACTCACCATACGAAACACAGCAATATTAAGCTGCTATTTTACGCTGGTATTGTGTGAGAGCGTAGTCCTTTCCAGGTCCAGCCGACCCATTCGTTCATGCCTACATTTCTTTCGCTACAACCATAATTTAGTTGCGGCATGGCTCTAACACGTATAAAATGTACTAATATAGTCGTAATTTATTATAATCAACTGCTTCTTTGTTATATTGTTCGTAAGCGTGGCGGATTATATTGAGGTCCCGGGTTTGAATCCCACCCTGATCAAAATCTCATTGAATTTTCTGACAAGAAAATCTCAGTAGCAGCCCAAAGCAGGGCAATGTTACACCCCCGTACTCCAAAAGCGGTTAAAGCTGATGGTCTTCCGCCTGATCTCTCTTCGCCTAAGCGTCCAATCGGACTATAATTAACCGTGTAAAAAATACAACTACCCGCATATGGGCCCACGAGTGTCGTATGAGGTGACAGAGGGAAATAAATCATGAGATGGGCAGCAGCGGCTTCCTAATCACTAAAAAAAAAAAAACTGCGCCTGCCAGCCCGTCTGACAAAATGCCAACTACCCTGGCTCTGAGGCAATTTATACAAGATACCTATGTTCAGGAACATATAGTATTATTAATTTACAAACTTATTGTTTTTTATTTCAGAAAAAAACGTGACTGTGAAAGCGGAATTGACTTGGCAACAAGCGCAAAAACTTGCAGTAGGACTAAGGATTCAACGAAGGTAAGACCCACGCGTAACTCACATTTGCCTATATATTTTTAAAGAGTTTAGAGGAAAAATATATAATAGTAACATGTTGAGGCGGATCGGGCCTACCTACCCTAGTGAGTTCACTCAAGGTTCAACAGAATACTTCAATATCGTCAGCCATTTTATTAAGAATCCATACCTAATTGGCAAGTAAATTAGTGCATGCGCGCGGCACGGAGACCAGCCGCGTACGCTGCTGTTTCCATACGTACTCATTTGGAACACACATTTTTTATATAGGATAGGGTGAAAAACGAGCACACAGTCCACCTGATGGTAAGTGGATCCTGTGGATCATAAACATCTACATTTAACCTCGATTAAGAATCAAAATGCAGATGCGCTGTCATCTCTGAGGACAAAGATGGAATGCCTCGTTTCCGGTAAAAAAGGTCTCCGGTTCTCTACATGCACCATACGAAACACAGCAGTATTAAGCTGCTACGCGGGTATTCTGGGAGAGCGTGGTCCTGCCTTGGTCGAGCCGACCCATTCGTGCAACAACTGTACTACTAATTTAACTGTAGCATGGCTCTACCGCGTAATACAAATGCGATAATGATACATGATGCGATGTATGCAAATCTAATCTAATATGAGCGTGTGAAAATAAGTAGAGTTTTAAATAAGGGATGATAAAGGAGTACACAGTCTACATCGTAATTGAATGCTGTCGCCCATAATAGACATCTAAACTTATCCTCTATTAAGTATCAAAATTAAAATGCGCTGTCATCTCTGAGGTCAAAGATGGAGTGCCTCGTTTCCAGTAAAAAAGTGTCTCTTGTTCTGTACACTTACCATACGAACACAGCAGTATTAAGCTGCTACTTTAAACCATACGAAACACAGGAGAATCAAGCTCCTATTTCACGCTGGTATTCTGTGAGAGCGTGGTCTTGTCTCGGTCGAGCCGACCCATTCGTGCTACAACTATATTGTAGCTTCAGCGTGGCTCTACCACGTATAAAAGCCGACGTTAAATACCAAGACCTGTGACGAGGTCTTGACTTGCTTACAATGTGCGAGACGTCTGGTATTGCGATCACCAATTGGATTGCCTCTGGTTGTGATTATGAAAGATGATGCCTACTACGGGACGATGAAAGTATAAGATAAAACCTACTCTATTTTTATGCAATAAATTAAAAAAAAGTTTATATCTAGTCGACAAAAGTCCCAGTCCGATCCTAGTTTGCGATGGCTATCCGAGTACGGAACCAGAACTTGAAACCTATTCTGCTATACTTATATCGTCAAAATCCTTCACCGCTGCATTTGAAGACGTATTCATGCTACTGGTCTGGACAGGATGCGGTATTAAACATTAACGACGCGTTCATTATACTTACCTTTTATTTGCCGATGATATAGTTATTATGCCAGAATCGCTGAAGGACCTCAAGAGGTTCAGTAGTGGATTTATAGTATAATGTAATGATAATACGTAAAATAGCAGCTTAATGTAGCATTAATTTGTCTTCCGTATGGTGACTAGAGAACCGGAGACCCGTTTTACTGGAATCGAGGCATTCAATCTTAGTCGTCAGAGGTGACAACGTACCTGCATTTTGATTTTGATTGGGCCACAGCATCCGCTTAACGTCGGATGGACTTTGTGCTAGTTGGTCACCCTTATTCTATAAAAAAATAAATATTTATTCAGCCTTATTAAGACTTTATCTTTGCATAAAAGAAGAGAATATATTATATTAAAATATATCCCTTATATTATTCCTGTAAATTAAACCTAAAACATAATAAAGTTCTATTTTGTACTTAAAAGTTAAACATAACTGAGTACAATGAGTACTTGTTTGAATAAAGTATATTTAACATTCTCACCAGTGCAAGCGGATTTTGCTTTTCCGGAGTTTTATCTAAACCCTAAATTCCACTAATAAAGCTAGGCGACAAACATTGGCAACAGTCTTCATATTCAAGTATTTATTTACTCACTAAGTGTACAATAAGGTCTTAACATATATTACAAAGAGTCGTGGTAGCTTAGATGGTTAACGCTCGCTGTAAATATAACAGAACGCGAGTAACCCGGCTTCGATCCCCGCCGGCACCAATGAAATTGTTAATTGCAATTTTAAGTGATGATTTACCACGTGCACGGCGGTGAAGGAAAACATTTTGAGGAAACCTGTATGTCCGAGGAATAAGAAAAAAAATATTTCGAAGACATGTGAAGTTCGCCAACACGCATTGGGATAGCACGGCGGACACTTCCTTGCCCTAAAACCCTCTCAGATATCAGGAGAGACCTGTGCCCAGCAGTGGGACGTATATAGGCTGTACCTTTATACATTACAAACGGTACTTACCACATAACCTAATAGTACAAACCAGTAACCTAATGATGTCTTGAATTTGCACGAATAATCTGCACGAAATAAAACTAATTTTACGGATTTTATCGCGTTTAATTTAATTTATTTAACTTATTTTAATTTATCGACGTTTTAGTTGGCGGTACATATTATTATTATTGATAAAATAACATATTTTCACTAGTTTAGTTTATAGTTTAGTTTGTAGTTAATAAAGTTTTTTAGCATGCAACTAGCATGCTGACTGCAATTTGTGACTCACCGGTTGTCTAGTACTGAAATAGTTATGTCAATATCTGTTAGATTACTTTAGATTTTGTGTCATTTATATCCGTTGAATCTTACATCTCTTACTTACAAGTTAAAAATAGATCGAATTGGATTACACGACAAGCATTCGGTTTACTAAAAGGAACAATTATAAGCACTTTAAGGATTGTAGTTTCTTTTCGGATTCTTCTGAATGTCAAATATTAGTATTGATATTGGCCTCAGGAAATTCATTTAATTTTATATCAAATATAATGTTTTAGTTATTTCGATTAAATCTGAAAAATATTTAGAATTTAAATATGTGTTTTTTATAGAATAAGATTAAAAACGAGCTCACAGTCCACCTGACAGTAACTGGATGCTGTGGCCCACAAACATACACATTTATCTTCGATTAATAACCAAATGCGGATGCGTTGTCACCCCCGAAGGACTCCGATGGAATGTCTTGTTTTCAGTAAAACGTGTTTCCAATTCTCTACACTTATCACACGAAATAAAGTAGCAATAAGCTGCTATTTTACGCTGGTATTTAAAATAAAAAATAAATTTAAGGAATTAAGTGAAGTTTAGTTTAAAGATTTGTCTTAATGCACGATTAAACATTCTTTATATTGTTACAATATCGCTGATTACAGCATATCGCGTAGTGTAGAAATCACCTATATCATTCGAAGTATCACCTTACAAGCACTTGGTAAGTAGGTAATTAGGAATCTCTTATCAGCTCGCTGTTGCGATGATAACATATTTGAGATAGCCTTTGCATAGCCAACTTGTTTATATAAGCTATAAATCGATGGCGGTTTATTTTCCTCGTACTTTCTCGTGAGGGAAATGATTAGAGAAATGTCTGTAATGTGTGACAACGCATTGTAGTCCTTATTGTTTAAAGTTGGCTGCTGGTGTCCATGGACGTCAGTAGCCACTTTCTATCACGTGGACCGTAAGTTCGTGGGTCACCATTGAATACTATAATACATACATAATAGAACGGGGGAGTGGGCGGAGCCCGTGTAGCCACTAAAATGTCACTAACACGTCAATTCACACGTATAACTGTCAACACGAGATGTGTTTTGACGTTACAATCATTCCCAAATTTCGCGAGAAAATTATTTAGAAAATGCCAAATTGCACACTATTTACAAATAAAGATGTTTTAAAATTTAAACGATTTTTTAATTATGATCTTGAACATTAATCAAAAGTCAAAAATTTTAAATTTACTCAGTCTGTCAACTCAGCGAATCGGGCTTGTAGTAGTGATAATACGACGTAATTGCTTATATGTTTGTTCCGACTATAGGCGACGCCAATCCTCGTGCAAAATACGGTTGACAGCCATTCTATTGTGTATTATAGTATATGTTTGTCACCCTTAAAAAATCATTATATTTGTATAATAGTTTGTGCATCTGGTAGAGAAAGTGTAACTTCTGAACGACTTATTCTATTTGAATAGGATAGTCACAGCCTACTAAATATCCACTGTTGAACTTAGGCCTCCCCCTAGATTGCCTCACAGGGGGAATTTTGCCATAGTTGCCACGATTGGCAAGCGGGTTGGCAACCGCAATTTTTTATTATTTTATGTTGTTATCACGAAGATACTGCCACTAATTTCTTTTCTCAGTTTCCCTCTGTCGGTGTTTACGACATCCACGGGATGATATAGGTTAGTGAATATTCTTACACCACCACTACACTGTATGGAATAGAATAGAATAAAGTAGAACAAAACTGAATAGAATAGGATATACGAGGTAGTAGAGCTACGCTACAGCTATATTATGGTTGTAGCACGAATGGGTCAGCTCGACCGGGGAAGGACCAATACCAACATAAAATAGCAGCTTAATGTCGCTGTGTTTCGTATGGTGAGTGTAGAGAGCCAGAGATCCTTTTTTACTGGAAATGAGGCATTAACATCTTAGTCTTCAGGGGTGACAACGCATCTGCAGTTTGATACTAAATCGAGGACAAATGCAGATGTCTATGGGCCACAGCATCCACTTACCATCAGGTGGACTGTGTGCTCGTTTGTCACCCTTATTCTATAAAAAAGAATAGATTTCTTATTGAAAGTCATTTTTTTTACTTTTACCACCGGTTCGGAAATAATCCTGGAAGGAAATAGCAATAGGCTCGGTGGATCTTTTTTTTTAAAGTAAAAAAAAGTTTTATTGTAAAACAGAGGTTGTACAAACTACTTATAAAACTTTAAATAAAACTCTTATTTATGGATTTGTTGGAGTTTTACGAACCATCACTTAAAAAACTTATTTTAAAAACAGCTTAAAAGCGACCACCTCATTCCCAGGAGTTATTATCAACCATGTATTCAATTATATTATA